GGGATTATTGTGTCCGTCCGTCCGTTGTGCATCCAAAAATGGGAGGGGTGGGGCTGGGTGGAGAGGGGAGGGTGGGGAGGTGCTGGGTGGGGAGGGAGGGGAGGGGTTGGGTGGAGAGGGTGGGGCTGGGTGGGGAGGGTGGGGAGGGGCTGGGTGGGGCTGGGTGGGGAGGGGCTGGGTGGGGAGGGGCTGGGTGGGGAGGGAGGGGCTGGGTGGGGAGGGTAGGGAGGGGCTGGGTGGGGCTGGGTGGGGAGGGGCTGGGTGGGGAGGGAGGGGCTGGGTGGGGAGGGTGGGGAGGGGCTGGGTGGGGCTGGGTGGGGAGGGGCTGGGTGGGGAGGGTGGGGAGGGGCTGGGTGGGGAGGGTGGGGAGGGGCTGGGAGGGGTGGGGCTGGGTGGAGAGGAGAAGGTGGGGAGGGGCTGGGTGGGGAGGGAGGGGCTGGGTGGGGAGGGGCTGGGTGGGGAGGGTGGGGAGGGGCTGGGTGGGGAGGGTGGGGCTGGGTGGGGAGGGGCTGGGTGGGGAGGGTGGGGAGGGGATGGGTGAGGAGGGAGGGGCTGGGTGGGGAGGGGCTGGGTGGGGAGGGTGGGGCTGGGTGGGGGGTGGGTGGGACTAGGGATGGAATTTGCAAGTGATGAGTGTCGACTAATCCTAGGAGGGGGGAGCTGTCGCAACGGATGAGAGGGTGGGGGCGAAATTTACAGAGGGAAAACATTTATGGAGAGAAAATAAAAAATAAATCATACTTAGCAAACTTAGAAATGTAATGCAACTCAGAAAGTCGTCCAACACAACAGTCAGCACCACACCTCGTTGATCGGCGTCCTTCCAAAGATTGCTGAATGTTGCATCCATCTTCTCGATTGGCCGCTAAGCCACTTAGTTGAGCTATCATTCGTGGCCAAATAAAAGAGCGTTAAGTTCTTTACACACTTTACCTGTGGAACCAGTTTTTCAGGAGTCTTGATCAACATGCAACTGGGACTATTTGGCCCATGTACATGATTGGAATAAAGGAAAGACTAACTTTGCATAATTCCTCCTATTATGAATGATTGAACCCGTGAGCCTAAAATGTTCTTTCGCAAAGGCACTGCAGTTTTTAATGGATTATTTTACATGATTTAGAGGGTTTTAGAGGGTTTGTGTGAAGTCCTCGAAAATATATATTTATTAACTCTTGCCTGTAAATGGAATATGAACTTCTCAACAGGAATTTAACGATGTTTCTCCACCTCCCACCGCGATAAATTTCCAAGTAGTCATTAATATGCACTACTGTCTATTGTCCAAACATTTAATTGTTGTTAAATGCATTGAGGAGAGAATAATTTTGTAAATTCGTTTGGCTGATTCATCACATACTGCTCAATACGATACGGTATAGCAGTAGTGCAATTTAAAGTACTCTACAGGTAATGTTATTCTACAGGTATTTTTTTAATACATTATACATTATGCACAACATTCTTAACTATATATAGCGCCTTAATTTACGGTGGATGGAAACAATGTGCAATTACAAATCTGCAGCCACAATAGAGCACTCATTTGAGAGGCTCAATTGCAGTGTAACATTTCGTGCGCCTATAAATAGTGGCTCAAGCTGTTGACTTACAGTTCCTCTGTTGCAACCACAACCGGTTATAAACTCTTCAGGGACTTTGTTAACTTTAATGTGTCCATATATGTGTGTGGTTTTGAAGTTGACAAACGCAGCAGCGGATGGTACTGCATGCCAAAGTTACAATTTTCTGTGGTGCAGTGGTTCCTAACCTTTGCTCCTCGGTGATGGGATTACCCACCCAATAGACTTTCAAGCGATGGCCCAGAGTTGGCATGTGGTTAGGACCGTTGACCCAACGTTGACCCAGCGTTGGCCCAGCGTTCAAATGTTGACTGGGTAACTGCTTGAAAAAAAACACTAGATGATGTTGTGACTGTCTTGGGGGTAAACATTCTCAAATATGACATTTTCGTAAAATGCAGTTTACGAATGTATTAGGATGCTTCCTTCAGCAGCGCCTGTTCTGTAAAATATCTCATGAATCTTCTTGGACTTTCACCTGATTAAATGAAGGAATTATGAAAAATAATAGTTATTATTTTAATTATTATTATAATAGGTTTTACCCTTTCTCTCAATAAAACGGGTGTTAAGATCTTCAAACACCAAATAGATACCCTTTCAAAGGAATGAAGTCTGCATTAACTACGCATACTTGTGGAAAAATATGCAAAGACGCTTTGATAATAATATATGCATTGTCTTTTAAACTAATTGGCCTATACCAGAGACAGCCTTCTTTATTGCCTTGTCTCACAAATGTGAGACCAGAGATCGCCAAAAGGCCAAAAGTACGAAGATAATGGCGAGACCAGAACACTTATAGCTCGGGTAGAGCAGTTTTATTTATGCGACTTTTGCCAGTATCCAAAATTAAACATTTTTCAAATCGCTTTAAACTATTGTCATTGTAGTGCGTATTTAATGTGGCGCTGCACTCTGATGTTGTAGGAGAAAACATTGATTAAAAAGTATATTTAATTAAGTAGAACGTGTTGTCTATATTTATTTAAAGTGGCGCATTTTGATGTGACGTCACATTTTTCGTCACAATTGTCACAAATGTCTGACCCTCCCCCCCCCAGGTGCGTGACGTCATTTATGGACGGCTCCTTTTAGCCTTTCTGGAAATTAATTAATAAAACATCAGCTCATTATATCTCACGTTAAAAGTACTGTACTTGTTTTATTTTAATACATTTTGCACGTAAGTTTCAATTTAGTAACAGAGTAAAACGTGTGCATAATAGCTATGATACACGTAGCCTCAAAGTAAACATTAATAGCGATGACTTCATGCACCAAGCCGTCGAGTCATCTGGACTTCGTGGCAGAATATCTCTCCGCTGGGGTAATGGGGGGAATAATCTCGCCGGCTCTGGAATAAAATGTACTCATCAGTACAACCACAGCTGCGCGCCTTCTTCAGCAGTAGCTGTCCCCAAAGCCAAGGAATGTTGGAAAACCGACCAAGTAATCGTCCTTCAGTCACGATTGTAACTTCATCAGCAAACGGTAACAGTCTTGCGAATTAGTCGGGTGCGTGTTGAAGTACTGTACACGGATAGGCGGGCGGTCGGGTTGGTGAACCATGCAGGGATGGGAAGCCTGCATTAGATCAATTGTCTTCTTTGGTTCTTTCGGTAAAGTCACGTAGAATGAGAATAAAATAATAAAATAAAACAATAAAATTCTCACGACGTTTCGGCCACAACACAAAGTGGCCTTCTTCAGGTGAAAGGGACAGACCTGTTGGGACGACAGAGCTTAATTTGAAGCTGTGTTGTGGCCGAAACGTCGTGAGAATTTTATTGTTTTATTTTATTATCTTATTCTCATTCTACGTGACTTTACCGAAAGAACCAAAGAAGATGAATCCTTGCAGTCACGAAAGCTTTAAATATATTTTTTTAGATCAATTGTGCCGGCAGGAGCCGTGGTGTGCCCAACACGCACCTCCGATGAGCATGGTTGGCTATGTACGCTGCGAACGAAGTTCAACATACGCAGGTACTAACTTTTTTTTACAAGCAGATGCCTGTGGGGGGGAAGTCTAACGAAGGGGTTTTCCCCTCCGGTGATCTTCTCTTGTGAGGCTTTAATAGGCATTCGACTTTACATCCACGCGCAAAAATTCAGAACAGTGGTCAAACGTGAATTTACATCGAAACTATTACCCACCTGAAAAGTAGTGGAAACTCTGGCTTTCCGGGATAAACTTTAAACATTCCCATTTCCAATCGTAGTTTCCCTCCTAATACCATTGTAAGGTTCCCAAATGTAAGTGTTTTCTGATCATCAGTGCATGTACAAATCAAATGTATATATTTCTATTCAGTTGGATTTGCATGTAATATTTCTCTACTATAAAGCAATGCCCTTTGTGTTGGAATGTGTTAGTGAATATAGCTTTTTTGCAATCACTGAAATTCGTTGTGTGGCGTCATTTTCCAGGGTTGCGCGCGGCACTCTTAAGTCAATAGAGGTAGTGGTATGAACTCTTTATTGCCTATTGCTTAATGTGCACTCACGGGATTTGGATGCACAGTATTTGGTAATGCATTATACAATGTATTTTGAAATAAACAAAATTATCCGTTTAGAATTGAATGCTCACCGGGAGCAAGTCTTGTGGCAGAATAGTGCAGCACTGAATTTGAATGGTCCATTTTGTACGCTCTCCTTAATCTGTAACCCAATGGCTAAGGATGAAGCCTGCTCCAGTTGGTGCGTCATGGCATGACTACGACAGTCTTCATGAATATGTTATGGAAGAGACAAAGCCATTATAATACGAGCATTGTCTCAGATCCAGTGGCTATTTGAGAGAGTTGGAGCAGGCTGTGTCTGTATGTATGGCAGTTGCTGCATAACTCTGGGATGCAACCCAGAAGACCAATTGTGTCCTTATCCACTGCGTGATTAGTTTTCAGCTATTCAGACACAATCTGTGAGGTTTCTGAAATATGTTTTTGAAGTGGCAGCCTTCGGTGTAATAGCTGCACAAATTAATTTTAGAAAACCGAAGCTTTTATGCTTTTGGTGCATTTTCCTTATGACTGCAGTACAGCATTTCAAACCGGCTTGATGTACGTGCTATACGGGGGCTAAATTAACAGGCAGTTGTAAAGCCACGTAGATAGATCGCAACACAAGCAATCGTCTTCAGGTGAAGACGATTGCTTGTGTTGCGATCGAAACGTCGTGATATTGTTATTATTTTGATTATATTTTCTATCTACGTGACTTTACCGAAAAACCCAAAGAATATGAATTCCTGCAGTCACGAAAGCTTTAAGTCAAGATATATATTTCCTGTTACATTTTAGGCATTGTCAGTCACTTGTTTACAAAACGATTCAAGACTGGCAAAAGGGGAGTGACGTGAGGAATGTGGGTACAATGACAGTCACTCATACAAGCTCCGAAGTCATTAACCTTGAGTTACAACGTTTATTTAAAGCACACCAATGCAGGCTACGCAATTTTAGCCCGACGTCAATCACCAGCTAAAGAGTTAAAATAATTATCTGCTGTAAAGAGAACACGACATTGTGTTACATTTAAAGTATGACGTTGTGAGGGGAAAGTCAATAGGAGTTGAGGTGGAGATTATTCCAAAAGTAACTATCTCTTTTTCAGAGCTGACAAATTACTCTATAGAGACGGTTCTCGTAACTGCTTACAATTGTTGTTCTGTTGGTATGCAGTTACAAATTGAAACTGCACTGCATCATCTTCTATCTATAACTGCTTTCAAAACTTGCACCTACAGTGCCAAATCAATGTAAAACATAACATCAGTATAACATACAATTTTAAAGATATCTTTACAGTTAAACAATGAATATGCATGCACATACACACGCACCATCTTATTGTAAAATACTGTTCTAATTAACTGGGCATTAACATTTTTTTTAGGTGATGTGTGACAAAAATGTGACTTTATTGAGGATTTTAGGCAGTCTGAGTTTAAGGGTTAAGTATCTTAGTTGATACTCTAGACAATTATCATACAGCTTTGGAAATCATGTCCCATTTCACAGTTGGTAAATGCCACTTCATAGTTGTTTAAAAATACTGTACACAAAATGCATATGCATCCGTTAATTGGCTGATTGAATTGCCGCTTCCTTAATATACTTTCTAATTTCCTCTTGTGGAAATGTATAATTACCAATTACTGTATTATATAGAATTGCATAATATTGAACACTGTAAATTGCATCAATATAGAAATTTCATCATTGAAGACAATTATGTATCATTGATGTTATATTTAATCACATATTAACCTTCATGTTAAGTAGATTAAAACGCATACAGCAAAGTATTGTGCTGCACTAATTAAAACAACAATCACTTTTGAGTTTACTCACAAAACATTCGCTAACGTTTAGCACAGAAAAGTACTATAAATATAATATTTCTATTTCAAAGCATTAATATATATGACAGTATACTCTCATATACTCTCATATATATATTAGATCATATGAGTCTATCTTAAATCCCAAATAGGTTATGAGACGCTAAAGTTGCCACGCAAAACGACCGATAGTGCATTATGCGCTGGTGGGGGTCTTGGCTGGGCTTCCGTCAGCCGGGCTCCCAGCTGCCGCTGCTGCGATGGCAGGAGGTGCACGCTGCACCTCAATGGCCACCACCCTCTCATCCGCAGCAGGGAGGGCACGGCGCTGAGCCTTGATCTTCAGCTTCCCGTCGTCGGTCATGCTACAGCACACGCTCTGCGGGTCCACGTCCTTGGGCAGCTGCATCTCCTCCCGGAACTCCTGGCAGCTGTGGCTGTAGCTGCCGCTGCTGCCTTCTCCGCTCTTCACCTCGCGCCGTCCGGCCACCACCAGCTTGTCTCCAGACACCTTCACGGCCAGATCTTCCGGGGAGAACTGCTGCACGTCCAGGCATGCAACAAAGCCGTCTCCCTGCTCTTGTGGCGCTTCAATCTGGATCCTGCTTATGGGAGGCTGCTGCAGCATCTCAGGAAAGCCACTTTTGGACAACATTTGAGTGCTGAGCTGTTCAACCCATTGGAATATTCTCTCCATCCTCTCTATTTCGTTGTTCATTTCACGCTGGAGCTGCTGGAACATGCTGTCTTCTCGCCCGGGGAGACTCAAAATTGGCCACCCGGGCCACAGTCTTTTCTCCAGAACATGCATAGGAGGGAAGAAAACATTCATCGCCATTCTTGTCCTGCTGCAAACTGGGCTGCAATACCTTGCTTGAGCTCTGGAGCACTGCTTTGTCCCCTGTCAGCTGGCAGTGTTCTGTCCAAGCAGCTAGAGTGGTCACTTTTATAGCTGTGCTGACAAGCAGGTGTCAGAGCTAGCTAGAAGTTTCCCGTATAATGACTGCATAGATGCCCTGCCAGGAAGCCAAGGTGACTCATGCTCGCATGGCTATGACACATTAGCTATTATGGGCACGAGCTAAGCAACTAGTTACAATTACAGTTATACTGGTAGGAACGAAGTTGTAAACTGAGTGTACCAGCCTGCAATAGATTAATGCGTCCGTCCGTCCGTCCCCTTTCAATACTTTAACGAAGTGAAATCTCGTGCTGTTGGGGTGTAAAAATAAAATTGCGCAAAATTCCAATGTTCCTACCAGCCCACCCTGCAGGGACCTGTTATCACATCTCCATATTAGTGGTTTGATATTTACATCAGCCAATTTCATTAAAATATATATACACGTAAGTTTAATATTTACATTTTATAGTACTGTAAGTAGAGTGGAATTGTTGGTGCATTGTGCTATGAGTTGATTCATGGAGAAGGTTAGCATCAGCGGTAAGTGATATCTGACTCAGTCCTGTCCGCTTCCCCATCACTAGCCTGCACTGATCAGCATGGTGAACCATGGTTCAAACAATCCCATGAACAAAACAGCATGGGGAGGCCTTCATCTAGCAGTGGATTGACAATGAGCTGAACATTATTTTTAGCATAGCACTGTAAAGCATAGCAATATTCTTACATATTACAATGGGCCATAAATAGCAGGGGTTGGCCAGTAAGTGCTAGATGTCAGGCAAGTGAGTCACATTCTGAATCTGGATGCTATTTAAAGTGTTCTGCAACAGGTGCAACAAATGAAGGTTATTTACAGCAGTGTTATTGTTGTGCATTCACATTTAAATCACTTATTTTAGCTTTCATGGACTGTAAAGAGCTGTGATAGACCCAGTCTACCTTCCATTGAATGGGACCAGTCATCGGTAGCTGCCATTGCCCTTCTCAAGGAATTGTTTTTCTTCCCTTTGATTGATTATGCTTCATTAGGTAGTAATGTCGATACAATACCAGTCACATTATTTGCTGCACCAGTGGGTTTTACAGATGCATACGGGGGTAGCACATTAGTGAACACACAATGTGTTAGAAGAGCAGTATTGCATACATCTCTCATTGGAAACATATAAGGCCAACATTTGCTTTGTAATTTCGCAGACCAGCTCAGAATGTGGCAATTGTCCGTTCGTGTTAGGCTTGTACCAAAATCAAGGGCACTCCGATAAAAAAAAAACTAGTTTAAGATGATTTCCAAGGCCCAAATAATATCAACCTATTGTGGAAAGCACCACCTACTTACAGTGAGCAATGGTTGTCCCATTCTTGGCTATAAATAATGGTCTGTCTAAAGCTTCAAGTTTTTCTAAAGTTGACAAAGATGTCCTCAAAAATATCTGAGACAAATATTACCAATTATTATCATAGGTCAACAAACATGTAAAGACAATAAGTGTCAGCGAATCGTTTTGCTTCTGACATCTGCCAATAATTTGGAAACAATATATGTACAGTATGTTTTGTATTTTACTGGCTGCGATGTTAATTTTACAAATCCATATTGTATACCTTATAGATTAAACATGTTGCATACATGTCATGTGTTTGCTATGTATGTGTCTTCTACTCTGGACACCTTTGCAAATCAGATGTTCCATGTCAAGGGATTATCGAGGTAAAAATTGTTTGCTGCCTTCATTCAATAGTGCAACTTCCATATTGGTGTGGTGGGAACAAATTTACAAATTTGTTAGCCACCAATCTAATAATCCCAATACTGTACAATATAATTCTATAATATAGTACATCATATGAAAGCACTACATTGTATTGTATAGCAACACAATAAACAATAACAATGTGTCCACATGTAGGGATAATGCGAACACTCTTAAAATACATTTGATTAAATTCCAGCAGTAGGTGTGACAATCACACTTATACTGTAATTGACAGCGCGTTTATCACTCATGTCAGTGTAAATAAATATGAGGCATGTATTGCAACAGTAGGACACGTGAGACATCTGGAAATGTTTCAAGAAATAAATCCATTCCTCGCCCTGCCCGGTCACGCTTCACGGTAGCACATGACCGGTTATCAACGCACACACCAAAACGTCCCTTTCCCTCGCCTCTGCCACAATCCATTGGCAGGTGACTTCATTTATTTTTAAGCAGTCAAGCTTCCATATAAAAGATTATGATATTTGTGCCATTTTCTGTACTTATATTTTTGCGACGCATCAGCAACCATGATGAATTCACTGCTAGAATGAAGGCCTCCCCAAGTCGTCACCATCCGTCCCGGTTTTGAAATGTAACAATCCAGCCAACACTTGCACACGAGCTGGCTTCATCGCTCCATCTGGTGGCAGCCAATATCATTTATTATCCATCATCTGTATTCCTGATGTGTCCCGCCTCAGCCCACTTTCCTTAACTATCGATATGTCTGGAAGTTGCGTTTGTTCCCTGAATCATGTATTTCTCTTTCTGTCACCATAAGTTTAAGAATGCACCTACCATGCTTGTTCTTTCAAGCATGGATTTTTTTGCCCAGGATTTTCCCCCTGATGTTGGCGGGGGGGACGGGGGACGAAGCCTTTCTCGAGCACAGCCTCAAAAAAATCTGGAACGCCACGCCTGCCACCGGACGTCCGAAACGTGCCGCATGTCTCTCAAGTCTGTAGTCCGTGCAAGACACATCTGTTCAGACTTGCCTTCCCATAAAATGTGAAATGTGAAATAAAAACTGGCTCTTTACCTTTCATTTATTTTATTTGTATTTACAAAATGTTGATTTAAAGCTTTCGTGACTGCAGTAATTCATATTCTTAGCTCTTTCGGTAAAGTCACGTTGAAGGGAAACAATAAAATGATAAAATATATATAAAACAATACAAATTCTCACGACGTTTCGACCATAACACAAACGGTCGTCATCAGGTGTGTCGGTTTGCATTAATTTATTTTTAAACGGTGTATTTATTGAAAAAAAAACGTCAGCGCCACGCGCAGCGATTTGGCAGTTTATTTAGAAGGACGAGTCCATCTATGTTCTGAAAAGAGGAGGGGGGAGACGAAAAATTAATGTATGCTGTCTGAAAGCCACTGTAAGCGTGAACAATCAATTAAGACCTGAAATGGTTAATCAAATCTTTCCAATGGTTGCTAAGCCACCATCTTCTCGGTTGAAATTGTCTCTGTGCTTGTATATGTGGATAGCCTCATGAACGAATCTCTCATGGTAGCCAGATGGCTTACAAAGAACCTCTGTCTTGGAAAAGTCAATATCATGTGAGCCTACTGAATTATAACAATGATCTGCCACGGCTGAGGTGTTGGTCCTACCGTGTTTAAGGTCTGCTTTGTGTTCACGAATGCGGTCCGATACATGGCGTTTGGTTTCTCCAATGTAACTACTACCACAGAGGCAACTTAGTTTGTAGACACCAGGGTACTGTATGTCCGGAATCACATCTTTTACAGACGGAACCAGATCACGGATTTGATGTAATGTGTTGAAACGGACCTGGATCTTGTGTTTATTCAAGATTTTGGAGATCTTTTTTGTGATCCCCGCAATGTAGGGTAAAGTGATGGTTTTGAAAGGCTCCTCAAGAGGGTTCTTCTTCATGGTTTGAGTGATAGCTTTGCGGATTGTATAGTCGGAGTAACCATTAGCCTTAAGAGCTTGGTGTACGTGCTTGAGTTCACTGCCTATGTGTTCCTGGTCGGATATGCATTGGGCTCTATGGTACAGAGTCTTGATGAGAGAATTCTTCTGTGATGGATGGTGGTGGGAATCCGGTTTCAGATAAGCATCCGTATGGGTAGCTTTCCTGTAGACAGAGTGGCTCATTGAACCATCAGGTCTCTTTTTTATTAGGATATCCAAAAAAGGTAGCTTGCCATCTTTTTCGACTTCCATGGTAAATCTGATGGCTGGGTGTATGGAATTGATGTGGTCGAAGAATTGGTCTAGAGCAGGCCGGCCATGTGGCCAGATGACAAAAGTGTCATCCAGTACCTCTTCCATAAGGTTGGGCGCAGAGTGGCAGTCTGGATGGCGTCAGTCTCAAATTTCTCCATGAAAATGTTAGCTATAACCGGAGATTGGGGGGCCCATTGGGGTGCCCTCAGTTTGTTTGTAAAAGTTCCGTTCCAAGTGAAGTATGTATTGATTAAACAGTGTCTCACCAGGGGGGGTACCTCAGTGTTTAGTCCTTGATGAACCAAGTCTTCAATGATTGCGATGGTGTCAGGTACAAGAACCTTGGTGAATAAGGAAACTACATCAAAACTGACAAGCAGGTCGTCTGGGGACAGGGAAATACCCTTGATTGTCGATACCAGGTGAGTAGAATTTTGTACTGCAGAGGTGGTTTTTGCTGCCAGGCCACCAAGATTATACGGCTTACCAAAAATACATAAAGTAGATGCACCCCTTCGTCCCATCGTCTCTACTATCAACTCCCCCACCTACAAACTGGCTCGTTTTTTGTCTGAAATCCTGCGTCCTTTCACTGGAAAAACCACCTCTGCGGTACAAAATTATATTCACCTGGTATCGACAATCAAGTGTATTTCCCTGTCCCCAGACGACCAGCTTGTCAGTTTTGATGTAGTTTCCTTATTCACCAAGGTTCCTGTACCTGACACCATCGCAATAATTGAAGACTTGGTTCATCAAGGACTAAACACTGAGGTACCCCCCCTGGTGAGACACTGTTTAACCAATACATACTTCACTTGGAATGGAACTTTCTACAAACAAACTGAGGGCACCCCAATGGGCCCCCCCCTATCTCCGGTTATAGCTAACATTTTCATGGAGAAATTTGAGACTGACGCCATCCAGACTGCCACTCTGCGCCCAACCTTATGGAAGAGGTACGTGGATGACACTTTTGTCATCTGGCCACATGGCCGGCCTGCTCTAGACCAATTCTTCGACCACATCAATTCCATACACCCAGCCATCAGATTTACCATGGAAGTCGAAAAAGATGGCAAGCTACCTTTTTTGGATGTCCTAATAAAAAAAAGGCCTGATGGTTCAATGAGCCACTCTGTCTACAGGAAAGCTACCCATACGGATGCTTACCTGAAACCGGATTCCCACCACCATCCATCACAGAAGAATTATCTCATCAAGACTCTGTACCATAGAGCCCAATGCATATCCGACCAGGAACACATAGGCAGTGAACTCAAGCACGTACACCAAGCTCTTAAGGCTAATGGTTACTCCGACTATACAATCCGCAAAGCTATCACTCCAACCATGAAGAAGGACCCTCTTGAGGAGCCTTTCAAAACCATCACTTTACCCTACATTGCGGGGATCACAAAAAAAATCTCCAAAATCTTGAATAAACACAAGATCCAGGTCCGTTTCAACACATTACATCAAATCCGTGATCTGGTTCTGTCTGTAAAAGATGTGATTCCGAACATACAGTACCCTGGCGTCTACAAACTAAGTTGCCTCTGTGGTAGTAGTTACATTGGAGAAACCAAACGACATGTCTCAGACCGCATTCGTGAACACAAAGCAGACCTAAAACACGGTAGGACCAACACCTCGACCGTGGCAAATCATTGTTATAATTCAGTAGGCTCACATGATATTGACTTTTCCAAGACAGAGGTTCTTTGTAAGCCATCTGGCTACCATGATAGGTTCGTTCATGAGGCTATCCACATATACAAGCACAGAGACAATTTCAACCGAGAAGATGGATTCTGGCTTAGCAACCATTGGAAAGATTTGATTAACCATTTCAGGTCTTAATTGATTGTTCACGCTTACAGTGGCTTTCAGACAGCATACATTACATTTTTCGTCTCCCCCCTCCTCTTTTCAGAACATAGATGGACTCGTCCTTCTAAATAAACTGTCAAATCGCTGCGCGTGGAGCTGACGTTTTTTTTTATAAACAAATACACCGTTAAAAAAGAAAGAAATTAATGCAAACCGACACACCTGATGACGACCGTTTGTGTTATGGTCGAAACGTCGTGAGAATTTTTATTGTTTCATATATATTTTATTATTTTATTGTTTCCCTTCAACGTGACTTTACCGAAAGAGCTAAGAATTTGTATTTACTACTTACCTTTCTCGTGCTTTTCGGTTCACACGGTTGCACTGAATTTCGCGCGCGGTTGAAATTTACTCTGCTCAGTCGGTGTTAGCAACTGAGGGCATGGCGGGCTTCTTTTTATCATTCCTGTTGCTCTGTGCCCCCTGTATCGTTCCCGTTCTGCTGTAATGGGCACTGATGCCTCCTTTATTGAGGCGATATTGGTACGTAAAATAAAGATTGATTGTTTGCACATGATTAGGCATCCTTTGCCAGTACCAAAAATTAGACCTCCTTTGCCGGTACCAAAATATAATAATAAGGTTTCAGTTTTGTTGCCAGAAAAAAGGGGAACAACCCTATTATTATATTATGTCTGCACATGCTGTTGCTTGTTTGCATGTGCAAACAAAGAGGAGGTCTCATACTTATAAAAAAGGCCTTGCATTTTGAGGTAGAATTTATGTACCTTGGAATGTAATCAATTTATAATCTTCCACAGCAATTAATACGTCTTAAAGTGCACAAACCCCACGTTTTCTGAAGAAAACAACCCAACTGTACTGTGCTTGTATAAAAATGTGAGATCAAACTATAACTTGATGTTCTGTAAATCGATCCAAAATGCATTCATTTAAAAAAAAAGTGTTTTGAGACACTTGCGGAGATTGGCGTAGTCCACGTTTGTTGCTGATAAAAGTTAAGAACATCACAAAAAGGTGGAAAGTTGCACAAGTGTGCAGTACACAAATGGTCCACTCGAGGGCATCAGACTCCCACGCCCACGTGGGAATCCGTGAGCTCACAACAACCGCCAGTGGCGGTGACGTTACCACAGGGCTTGTGCCAGGCTAGGTGCACTTTGATGCCACGTGAAGTGTTGAAGGCTCGCTGGCAGTAGATCACGGGATAGACTCAGCTACCACCAGATGCACCACCTTTGGCCCCTATTGTGCCAACTTATAGGAACTCCAACACAGGTCATCTTGGCCCAGGTCATACAGCCTCCTGAGTGTGGGTTGGGCCCCTACTGGACATCTGTGGTAAAAAAAATTGCTTTATAGTTCATCGGACTCCTCCAGTATAAATAAATATTCATATTCTGAAGTAAACATTAGATACAGTACAGTATATAACTTATTTTAAAAGCATTGCACTGATAGAAGTGATGATACAATATTAACTGCGTGAACTATATGCATTACAGTACTGCGTGCAATTAATTGTCAACAATGATTCATTATACTGTATTGGTGTGCAAGTGCCAGGTGGAGGCAGATTGGGGAGGTCTTCATCAGTGGATTGGCCATGGCTGATGTTTATGACAATCATGATTCACATTAGAATGTCAACGACACGACTGCAACAATAGTCGTAATTTAAAACAATTTAATAATATTTACTGAAATACTATCATTATATGCAGTGATAAAAAGAATGTGCATCACACTGAAGTTTGACAGCTGTCACATAAAATATCGATATGGTATTTTATAACTATAATCAGTAGCATGCGTTACTATTATAGGATTTTCTTTAGAACCGATGTTTGTGTTGAGTTTGTTATCAATTCCCCCGCACGTCCGATGAGCAAAGTTGGCTACAGACGGTGCAAAATAAATTAAACTTACGTACATTGTAATAGAGTAATACCACGATCACTGTCCAATTGTAATACTGAGCCCTGCCATGGGAATGTGGATTTTCCACCACTGGGTCAGAGTCACCCTCTGCTTGCTTGAGCGAGAAGACACCGGGTGAATAACGAGAATATATTGGCGTACGGGTTGGTGGACCACACAGGGATGGAGCCATCGTGTGCATCAGTACAGAAAGTAGAGCTGTTTGTAGTTTCAGTGTTATATCCCACGCGGGCTCCTCCAGGCACTCCAGTTGCATTGAGACGGTTCAGTGGCGAATGGGGCTCAGCCAACCTGGAGGAATAAAATCCTGATTCTCAAATGTTGTGAATAACCGATCCCAGCTCAAGTCAAATTCTGAATGGCTAAAGACGTGTGCTGGGCTAAAAAAAATTGATTGCCTTACTGACATTTGGCAGCGCCCCCTGTAGAGAGCATGAATGGGCCCTACCATGTTTGAAGTGACTCCATGGCCAATGGTGTCATCATCACCACCACCATCATTCGGGGTGTTTGTGAGTCTCTGGTGGCTGAGTTTGTAGTTGTCACGTTCTGACCTGCCCCTACTGGACGTCTGTGGAAAAAAGAGCTTAAAAGCTCATCGGATTCCTCCGGTATAAATCAAGATTGAGTTCTAGAAGGCATGTCTCATATGGCACAACCATTGAATAATTCGTGATACAGTGACTAGTGATACAATGACATATATACTTACGCAGTTCTTTCGACCGTACATTTACCAAGGGACCTTCTGAGCGTCTCAGTGGCACACTGAGCCCATTATATGAGTGTCAATTTTCAGAACAGTACTTTATTATTTTACTTTTCAACATAACGGACTGGGTGGGCATGGTTGGGAGGACTTTATGGAGTGATAATTGAACTGAAATGTGGTTACAATTCGCGTTCCAGAAACAACAGCACAAGTAATACAGCAATTTATACTGTTAGCATTCACACACAAACACATGCGGGAGTATCATATGATAATGCTGTCTGTAATTTATATTGTAAACGTGTATTGTTCCAGTAGTATTACAATATACTGTAGGGCGTGGTGGGACAATACAGTGGAGCATGTATTTATGTTGAACTTATTTCGCACCGTACGTAACCAATCGGAGAAACTGTATCGTACGGTGACACTAGTATTACTTCTGCTATATTATTGTAACGATATTATAATTATTTTATATAATAATATAATACTGTAGTCACGTGGACCGCCCCCCTCCCCCCAGCATAGAATCGTCTGGTAACCGAGGCAACGCGTTCACGCGGACCAATGGGAGGCGGCGCTGGCGGTGACGTCACGAGGAGGGCGCCCCCCCCCCCCGCGGGGTAAAAGCGCGGGGACGCGCGGCGCGCGCGCGTACTGCGGCGCCAGCGCGTGGCGGTACAGCCGGGAGGAGCACGCGGCCTGCCGGCTACACACAGCATCTACACACAGCATCTATACACACCTATAGTGTCTACTATACACACACACACCGAGTGTCTTAACATACACACAGCATCTATACACACACCCATAGTGTCTAACATACACACACCCCGAGTGTCTTAACATACACACAGCATCTATACACACACCCATAGTGTCTAACATACACACACCCCGAGTGTCTTAACATACACACAGCATCTATACACCCATAGTGTCTACTACACACACCCCTAGTGTCTACTATACACACACACACACTACCTACACACAGAGCACCTATACGCACTTCTAGCGTCCAATACACAGATCACCTGTACACATACATCCAGAACCTACCTCCTGTACACACACACAGAACCTACCTCCTGTACACACACACACAGAACCTACCTCCTGTACACACACACACAGAACCTACCTCCTGTACACACACAGAAGCTACCTCCTGTACACACACACAGAACCTACCTCCTGTACGCACACAGAACCTACCTCCTGTACACACACACACAGAACCTACCTCCTGTACACACACACCCAGAACCTACCTCCTGTACACACACGCACACACACAGAACCTACCTCCTGTACACACACACACATAACCTACCTCCTGTACACACACACAGAACCTACCTCCTGTACACACACACACACAGAACCTACCTCCTGTACACACACACACAGAACCGACCTCCTGTACACACATACACACAGAACCTACCTCCTGTACACACACACACACATAACCTACCTCCTCTACACACACCCAGAACCTACCTCCTGTACACACACACACACAGAACCTACCTCCTGTACACATAGCACCTACAGTGTCTACGACACATTCCCAGCACCTATCTTCTACGCACACATTATCTACCACACGTACAGCACGTAGTAGTATATCTTACCCACAGCAGGGACATCTTATCCTACGTACAGCATATATACACAGTAGCTACTATACACACACACAGCACCCACACATACCTAGTTCCTCTCATCTGCACACAGTATCCTATTAATAATCCAGCAGAATCCCCCCACCGTCGACACCTTATAGATTATAATACAACACACCCAGCCCCTGCTGTGCACACCTTTCGCTTACTACACACGTCTATAAATACCCGGCACCGCCTGTACTAATTACCGTGGGCTCACTAGGCACTTGCATCTTCTCCACTACCCGTGCAGCCACATCCACGTTGGGGGGCGTGGGGGGGTGGACATCTCACGGACCCGCCCAGAAGAGACCTGCAAACCTTCGACCCTGACTCAGCGGCAAGCCCCACCAGCAATCAAAGCGGAGCTTGGCCAAGGTCTCTGTTACCAGCCCAGCAGGCCGCTCTTTCACTCTTCCTGAGCCCAAGCCACCGGAAAGAGAGAAGAGCGTCCGCCAGAAGCACTCGGCACGGACGACATCCCCGCCAGCGTCACTGCAGGAGGAGCAGCAGCAACAAGGACGTCGTCATCATCATCATCATCTTGGTCCACGATCCTGCAGGGACGTCAAGGATAACCGGCATCATTGGCAGCATCTTCATCCTTTGGAAAAAGCAAGCTGCTGCGAGGATAACATCATCATCACCATCGCCCTGATCCTGTGGGACCAGCTTATCTCCATGACCTCGCCTCGCTGACCATCCTCCTCCCGAGCACCGTGCTACGGGCGCCCTGCTGGGACACCCTTCCCCCCGCTGTAGGTCGAGCACAACAGGCAGCCACAGGGTACACGGCACACACTCTAGGGGCGAGTGCTGTTTAGCGAGCTGCTTTGCAGTCTCTTATACGCCCGCACAGGGGCCTACAACAACGTCTTGCGTACACGCGCAAGAGTCGCACGGGTTACACGTGCACGCTGAAATGCGCACGCGTGCCACACACTGCGTAGCGATACTTCTCGCTGCCTTCATTTGCACACTAAGCTACCGGGTGTACACCGACATACGTGCATATACGACTTGGACATATGCAGGTATCGCGTGTCCCGCACTTCCGATTTAGCACGGCTGGCAACGTACGGCGCGAAATAAATTCGGCATACATACGTAGTCTAAAATGTCCACTTTAGAGCACACCAAGATTCGTACACATGGGATGTGTCAGTGTACACATAACCTGTATTTTTTCTGTAAGATAGGGCGTAGAGTGACATCTCTCGTGTAGTCAACTGCACGGTGGCATATGCATTGATTGGAATATAAGAGGTACAATTGGTGGGTACCCACGTCCACACTGCAGTACACAATAGCACATTGGCATATGCTGACGGTCTGTGGCTCACGCGGTGACCCTGCTGGACACGGCCACGCTCGCATTCACAGCTGGGGGTCATCTCTATTCCACCCCCAGTGCTGCTCTGCATCAACTTAATTGGTGTGGTGTCCCCATTACAATTACAGGAGTGTTTATCACCACCACCATCATCATCTTCATCATCAATGATGCATCTCTGACCGTGCTGCCGCCACACACACACACACACGTGAAATGATGTTTTTGAGGTGTGTGTGTGGTGGATGTGTGGTGAGCTGATGGCTTCACTCATCCCAAGGTGACAACAGAGGGGCGATGGGTCTCGTCTGGTGGCCCCGGGGAGATTCCCCTCGACTCCTAGAGGACCTTAGCAAGGGAGAATAGGTGAATACGGAACAAGGATTTATATTACTCTAGCTAGGGGCCACGATTTGCCTTGCTGACAAATCTGGCTGTCGCCTGATGAAGCTAGTTGTAATTACTGGCGAAACGTCGTACTCAGATTGTAAATGTTGTGGCTTGGCTCTCCAACACACCGGTGTGCTGTACTAGTGACGAATTGGCCACGTTTTGTTTACGTGACAACCCTTACTAGTTGGCTGTGTTGGGTGGTGGCGGGTTTTAACGACACATTTATATATTTATGCGATCTAACCCAAAAAAAACCTTTCTATTATGGATAACCTATGATTTTATTTAATACCTACGTGACCTTACCGAAAGGACCAAAGAGTATGGATAACCTATGAGTTTGACGTGTTGCTGACAGGGCGCCCTGAGGTTGCGCTATGGGCCGAGGAGATTTATCACAAGGCAAAGCAGATGTCTTTTCAGCTTGGAGAGATAATGGCCTAATGAGATATATTCCAGAGGCACCAACATGCCCCCCCTAGGGAAGGCACCTTACGAACAAACTGGACGATCAGGTTGCCAAGGGGCTCAGGATATTATTTTGAGAATGCTTCGGCGATTGGGTATGAAGCGCGTACATTTATACAGAAGGGTCTTACTTGCCATGTTGGGATATTGTCTTTGTTCATCGGGGTCTTCCCTCTGAATGCTTCTTTTCTTTCAAGCAGACGCCGCGTGGAGTCGAGTTGTCCTCGGCACAGATGTGTACAAACTCCGGGCTCTATGCCAAGTCCAGTCCCGCATGGGCTCCTCGTGTAACCGAAAGCGTGCACAATGCCCTGCGTTGTTGCCCCGAAAAATAACGCATTCAGATTGGATAAACCCCATGCACTTAATAGTGAATGGTGTTACTGTGCTTCGGTTTGATGCCATGCCCCTTGATGAAATATCTCCCTTGTGACTCGTCTAAACACTGGTATATCTCTGTAGCTGCTATTTTCATCCAGTGGCATTACTAGGTCGGCTTTATAAAGGCCAGCTGGAAAATGTTGTCTTTTTGACCTGTGTGTGAATTGGATCCTCAATGCATGTTTATAATAGTATGTTCCAACTCCAGGTGACATCCTTTTAGTGAACAACGAAGTCTTAATAAATGCTGGACCTGAAAAGAAAGCACGTCCAGCCCTTTTGCCAAGTCACTGTAGGATGAGCACTTCCCCACAATGTTCATGCAGGTCGTGATGGTTATTTGACCATACTTCACCATTCTGGTCAGTGTGGGGTTGGTGACGGTGGAGAGCATAGACTTGTAAGCTTAGTACGGAACGATGAATTTTGTTGCACTGCCCGTTGCTGCCAACAATGTAACCCTGCATTGTTATATCGTTGCCTAGATTATAAAATTAGGAATTGTATTTCTGTATGACCGTTAAGTGCGCACTGTGTAAACTGGATAATAAGCTTAGTTTTTGAGACAGTTTCAGATTGATAATGGTTATGATCTCTTTGTTGTGAGTAAACATTTCTCGCTTGTTAAATAAGACTAGTGTGCCCCTACATTTTGCCCCTTTAACAAAACAGACATTTTGATTTAAAGCTTTCGTGACTGCAGTGATTCATATTCTTGGTTCTTTCGGTAAAGTCACGTTGAAGGGAAACAATAAAATAATAAAAAGTATATAAAACAATATTGTTATATATATTTTATTATTTTATTGTTTCGCTTCAACGTGACTTTACCGAAAGAACCAATAATATGAAAACAGACATTGGTTTGCCAATGAGCTCTTTAGCTGGATAAAGGTTATTGTATTTTCCAACAAAGGAAGTCAACTCATAAACTAAAATGTTCGGTTAACAACAATCTTAAAGAGTGGTTAGTGGGTGAGTGCTCGGGGGAGGTAAAGCAAATACTGGCAGCCTGAGTGACGAGTGTTGACCGTGTGGGTAGGTCTAAAGTCCATAGTGACAGCCCTAGTTTTGTTGACCAAGCAAGCTTTTAAAAACAAGATTTGGAGTGCTGTTCTCACCCTTAAAATTGTAAACGGTCACATCTGTGTAAACAATATGTGCTGATTGTACAACCCGATGTCTTTACTCCTGACATCTTGTAAAATTTCATTGTTGAACTTAGGAAACAAAGCAACACTTTCATTTGTGTTTTTGCAGCCGTTCCGTGTTTGGAATGGCTCCTTTTCTGGCAGCAGCAGCAGCTGATTCCAGATGGAATCTAACAAAAACCTGTCAAGGATGACCTCAAATACGATGTGGCAATGTAGCTGCTGTTGTTCATATTTTAAATTTTAAAACTCCCCATAATTTATTAAACATTTTTCTTTAATATTTATTACCATTATTGAAGCCCTTATGTCCATAGCATAGACATTTGTTGAATAGAGAAAAATATGGAGAGTTTAATTTCACATCAAAATGTTTTCCTTTCTGCCTTTTCCCTTCCCAGGAGTGGGAGTGAACGACTGTCACGGCCATGGGGAATGGTCTTTCAGGCGATAACCCAGTGCTGGCGAACTTCCCAAGCTTCCAGCCGCTGCATGTGGCCATAATTGGCCTGGATTCTGCAGGGAAGACTACGTTGCTCTGCCGCCTTAAGCTCCACGATTTTGTGCACACGGCGCCGACCATCGGCTTCAACACGGAGCGGCTGCGTGTAACCCTGGGACAGGGCAGGGTGGCCAACTTCCACTTTTGGGATGTTGGCGGCCAGGAGAAGGTGCGGCCACTCTGGAAATCGTACACACGCTGCGCCGACGGCATCGTGTTTGTCACGGACGCTTCCGACCCTGAGCGTGTCGAGGAAGCCCGCACGGAGCTGCATCGCATCGCACGGACGGCAGAGTGCCAGGGTGTGCCATTCCTTGTCGTTGCCAACAAGCAGGACCTACCCGATGCCTTGCCCCCTCATCAGCTGGAGAAGCTTCTAACTCTGACTGATCTTGGTCCCACCATACTGTGGCACATACAACCCGTGTGCGCCGTCACAGGACAGGGTGTCTACGAGGGACTCGATAAGCTCTACGAGATGATCCTGAAGAGGAGGAAAGTGGTCAAGTGGCAGAAGAAAAATAATAAACAGCGGTAAAGACCGCTTGTGGTGGTCTGCACGAAGGACTCCTTATTTTATGATCACTGATTTAGGCAGTGTTGGCAAAGAAATAACTTTAATCCTGTTTGTTTGGATGCAGTTTTTGTTTGTTCATGGTCAGCACAACAGACTGGAATTGTGCGTAAAGATGAACTGTTACAGATTATATTGCTGTGGCCAAACTTCTAATGTGGGAAAGCATTTCGTTGTTGTGGCTTGAAACCTTTGGCCCGTTGGTTAATACAATAAGAATGCACAGCTCATTTTTTGAAAAACGCATTGTTTACATGGAGTCTGTAACATCAACTAAAAAAGTGCTTTATAGTTTTTTTAGGATTGTTTAAAAAGTACAAATTTGGAAAATTAAAAAAACGTTATTGCATGTACAATAGCAGCACTCTTTAAAGTTATTACGTTGTTCATTACTGTATTGAGGCTTTTTTTGTACATTTCCTGTTGATATTGTTACTCAATGACGGAACATCTGTAAGAGTAGAGCTAGAGTACATATTTAATAGTGCGTTTAGTTGAAAATGATTTTAAAAAAATAAAACATTACAAGTGCAGGTTTCCATTGGTGTACCATTTTTGAAATTCAACTTGGGTATCGTACCGCATGCAACATTTCCATACACAATCAGGACATTAGGCTATGTCAACTCTTTTGGATAAAAGGGTATGCTCATAGTTCTTGATAAGCGTATAGAATTGTAATAGCAGATTCTAAAAATCTATGGCTTATTTGCTATATGTTATTGCTAAAATTGATTTGTTTACAGCTAATTTTAAAACGCATTACAGGCAAGTGCTTTTTCATGATTCGCCAATTGTCTATTCAAGAAGGCAGAATGCCAAAGATCGTTTATTTGTTTTTAGTGCACCGTGTGACTACATAAGCTAACCTTGGTCTCTGAGCTCTGAAAAGACAACACCGTGATCTAAATCTAGGGTTTGGTTAAATTTTGACTTAAAGCTTTTCGTGACTGCAGTAATTCATATTCTTGGGTTGGGTTGTTTCAAGCGGTTTATAAACTGTTCAGCTAATGCAGTGCTCTGCTTATCAGAAAGTGTATAAGCACAGTTTCTGTTTTCCAGCAACACAACTACCACAGCCAGTGGACGAAACTTATGGATTTAAATTGTTGAATGTCATGTGCCTGGAAAATCAAGTACAGTGGTCAGCAACACATTGCTCTTGACCCCGTTTGATACCACTCATTTCTGTGTGTGGTTACCAATGCGCGCCGTACTATGTGAATGTTGAAGTCTGCCACATCGTTCCTGAGAGACTTCTAATGCATGCTACTGGTGCAGTCGAAATTCCAAATAAGAAAATAGCTTGCTTTAATCGCATGAAATTAACCAAGTGTTTCAAATATGAATATCGATGTAACCATACAGTGATTGAATTAAAATATATATTTTTGCTTACGAGACATGCAGAAAATTCGACATTTTTAAATTATGTTTTTATAATACTTTGGAAGTGATAGGTTAATACCTTCTAGACAATGGCAAAAAAACGTATTTGTGAATTGTGACCCTGCATCCTCCAGTCAAAATTCCATAAAGTTGAAGGGAATAATGTGTCCCTAAACATTAAGAAGACCTTTGCAAAACAGATACTGGGAATGGCAACGAATAAAAAATACATAAACCAATCAACATATTAACTGGAACGTTGTAAGTGTTTGAAAATTATTCAAGGCCTCAGCACTGTGCACTTTAGTTGCTGCCTTATGTTAATGATAATGGCTGCTCTTAATACGAATGATATACTGAGGATATATCTCAATGTTTCCAGCACAATTTAAAGTTCGCTCATGCATGATATCTGTTTTTATACTCCGTGGTTTACCAGCATATGTGTGACCAATTGATATGTCCCACAAGCATAAATTTAACCATGCACTGAGGTTCCTATGGTAAGAACGCAACTGTGCGATGTACTGCAAGTAAAATTTAGTTTGTCTCATTATTTACAAATGTACATATTTATTTTTTGTATACATAAATAAGGACTGGGTACATATTTCTAGAGTTTTGTTACATAACAGTAACATATCAGTCTTCCGGTAAAGTGATCCATGTTAAACAGCCTGGATTGTAGGCGTTCTAATGCCAATAAAATCCCATTTGAAATACAGTACTACTACTAGTGTTCTCAAGTGTAACCCGATGTGGTCCTTTGTTATAATTATGCTGGTGATGAGATTAATTAAAATAAAGTGTGCTTTAAATCAGAAAGCATTTTTTAATCAAGTATTTTGAACCAGTCCTATATTCGAGCAGGTGGCACGATGGTTAAAGTGCATGATTCAGTCTGAAACTCATTTGTTCATATTCTGGTCACGCAGAGGTTTGACTCGGCCCATCATTTTAACAGGGTCAATTGAATTAGTACCTCTTTGTAGAAAATAAAAGCAAGAGTAGTCTTACTCTGGAGAGAGACTGGCCAATGCCATGTAAATGTAGAATTTCCACCACTGGCTTAGAGCCATCAATGGAAACGAGTGCCGTCCTATTGGAAGAAATGTTGACTTTTGATTTTCAGTTTAACACGTGGGCTTTCGCGACCAATATTATTCATAAAGGTTTTTGGGTTAGATCGCGTTATTCATAAATGTGTCGTAACCCTCCACCACCCGACACGGCCAATCAGCAAAAAAAGTGTCACGTTGACAAGACAATGAAGTTAACTACTTTAGCCCACCGGTGTGTTGAAGAGTGAATCCACAACATTTACAGTTTGAATACGACGTTTCGCTGGTAATTGCATCCAGCATCATCGGGCAATTCGCCAGAATGGTAAAGCCCTCGCTTGCTCTCGGTCTTAAATAGAGCAGCAGGGTGACGTCATCATTTAACTCATTTCATTTTTATTTTAAGTCGATTGTATGAATAGATTGGTAACTGCAGTACTGTGCTGTGCCAGGTGATGTTGAATACAACTTTACTGTTGAGTGCAGCCAGGAACTGGGACGATTGGGGAGAAAAGTGTCAATAGCAATGGGAAACCGTCGAGTTGATATTAATCGCACGTGTCTTGGGAGCTAGTATAATAGAGTAGTAATCCTATTTTGGGGTGCTGGTGTATTTCAATATTCACTGGGTGATTTAACCCGCACTGAACACCCGAGTGATGGCACTGGGGGGAAAATGTGATGCTGAGCTGGTATTGTAAAGTAACTTAATACAGAAATGTTTTATTTATTTGAAATTATGATTAATCGCTTAAGAGGGAAGGGAAGGCTTGCAGTTTATACGAAGTTACCTTCTTCAGGAGTCGGTATTTGAAACTTTAAATAGGCAGGCAGAATAAAACGTTTACTAATTCATATAAATATTATTCTAGCAGAATATAATACAAATATGCACTTTTGTTCCATGAAATTAAAATGAATAACGTACATTGTAGGTGATTTGACATGTAATTAATGTATTACGATCAGATGTATGTACATCATATGCAATATGTTGTTCATGTGCAATCATGCAACATGATTGTATTTACCGGCGAAAAGTCGTGCTCGAATCATAAATGCTGCGGGTTTACTCTCCAACACACCGGTGTGCTGAACTAGTAACGAATTGGCATGTGTTGTTTACGTGACAAACCTTACTAATTGGCTGTGTCGGGTGGTGGCGGGTTTAACGTCACAACATTTATATATTTACGTGATCTAACCCCCCCAAAAAACCCTCTTATGGATGCGACATAAATGTAGTCAACTATTCCAGCCATTCTCAATCTACCAACTAAATAATGGGCTCCCGATGCAATGTCTGTGAAAGTTCACCACGATCGTCAATGCGGTTTTCTGAAGGGGGTAGGGCAGGATTGGTCCTACAGATCGGTACCATTGCCGTGAGAAGTCGTTGGATTACAACGTTTTGTCCTACCTCTGATGAGCACGGTTGGCTACTTGCAGTGCGAAAGAAGTTCAATATACATTCATATCCGCCCCTCTTTTTTTTTCACCGTCTTTCGGTTAAGAGCATCAGGCAAACAGTGCAGAGAAAACGATGTATAAAACGTCGCGTTGCAGCCGACAGGTCTCGAGGCAAAGAAGAATGCAGGTAACCACAGAGCGTATTGTGCTCGAAATCCACTGACGTGGGCCTAAGATCAAAAGGCAACACACAAAAAAAACAAACCCAACAGCAATTGCGATCGAACTGCTATTGCACAATAACGGCACCTGCATTAAGGTCAAATGCATCCAGGTGTTTGCGAGTCGGTGGAATAAAAGCCACGTAAGAAATGGATCAAATACAACTACCGCAAGACGAGGCATCGTGCAACTATATTGTTACGAAGCATGGCGATACTCCTTGGTTCTTTCGGTAAAGTCACGTAGGTATAAAATGAAATAAATCACGTGACGTTTCGGGCGCAACACAAGCGTCCGTCATCAGGTGGGACAACCACAGCAAGAAACAACTGCTGAAGTGGGTAGAAGGACTCTCGTAATGCGAGGTTATCTAGGTAAGAGAAAGGGGGGGGGGGCAGGGAGGAGAGGGGGGGGGAAGTGGAATGCTGCCAGATGAAGAGCAGCTAGAAAGGATCAAAGGGCCAAAAGGAGGAGCAAAAGCAAAGAGGAGATGCGGATATGAAGGCAACACCATAAAGCATTTAAGGTTTTTTTTTACCTGGTTAATAACATCCTTCCAATGATTGCTCATATTGTATCCATCTTCTCGGTTGAAGTTATGTCTATGTTTATATTTCTGGATGGCTTCATGAACAAACCTTTGATAGTAGCCCGAAGGTTTGCAGAGCACCTTGGTCTCGGATTGAAGCATGGCGAGTAAAGCTGCAAACTTCAGAGGTAGGAAAATCCTCCTTCAGTTAATCACTTTACACAAGACAGACGAAACTGTTCAAAGAAACAAGAGGAATAACAGACTCCCGACAAACTGCGCATTGATATCAGAATTTTTTTTATTCATCCTGGAGACATCCGATGAGCTACAAAGCTCTTCTTCACAGGTGTCCAGGAGGGTCACGGGGTCAGGAAGTTACAACAACAAACAATACAAAAACACTAGCAGTACGAAGTAAGAAGAGAGGTAAGCAAGTCACTAAAAATAAATCAATGCACTACAAGTAAATTTCAATTTAAAGCTTTCGTGACTGCAGGGATTAATATTTTTGGTTCTTTCGGTAAAGTCACGTAGAAGGGAAATAATAAAATAATCTAAATAAAACAATTAAATTCTCACGACGTTTCGATTGCAACACAAGCGATCATCATCAGGTATGAAAACCACAGCAAGAACATTTTCAAAAACCACAGCAAGAACATTTTCTTGCTTTTTTCACACCTGATGATAATTGCTTGTGTTGCAATCGAAACGTCGTGAGAATATTATTGTTTTATTTTTATTATTTCCCTTATACGTGACTTTACCGAAAGAGCCAAGAATACACTACAACTAAACAATTTTTTTTAGTCAACCAGGTAAAGCCCATTCAGCTATTAGCTATTTTTCAGAAGCGACCTGGCCACCAATGACAGCCCAACGAAGTGGCTTATCGCGTTGAAATGTATCGCAGCCAAATACTCTAAACCCAACCAAGGGGAGAACATGCAGACTTAAAATGTATAGGCGTCAGGGTTGGGATCGAACCTCCGTCCGACTGTATACCAGGCCAGGGAGATAACATCACGCAGCCGTGATTGGCCTTAAATCAATAAATAAATTATATACGTTCAAAAAACGTATCCTCGGCGCAAGCCATTGAGAGGATGGCAAGTAAGGGGCCGTCCATAAATGACGTCACGCGATTTTGGACGATTTTTGACCCCCCCCCCCCTCGTCACGGCGTCACAAAAAGTCAGACCCCCCCTCAAATATGACGTCACAAAGCTCTGCCCCACCCCCCCAAAACCATATTTCAATTTTGAAAATAATACATGCTTCAAATCGCTTTAAACTATTGTCATTGTAGTGCGTATTTAATGTGGCGCTGCACTCTGATGTTGTAGGAGTGTTGTTATAACAATTCGTGTTATAACAATTCTATATTTATTTAAAGTTACGCATTTTGAGGTGACGTCACATTTCTCACCCCCCCCCCCTTCGTCACACATCGTCACACATGTCTGACCCCTTCCCCCACCCCTTAGGTGCGTGACGTCATTTATGGACGACCCCTAACACACACACCCTCCCACCCTCGTGCAAATGTGATCAGCTCGCTATTTACCCATGTCAAGGCGAATCTATTGACCTACATTCAATAACCATCGCTGTCCAATTCCCAGAAGACGCAGAAATAAAAGCACCCAATGCACCCTTAACCCGTGCCCCCTCGAAGGGAGAGAATGACACGCACCAGGGATCAGGGTCTCCCACTAAGATCCCTTGATGAAGACCACATGCTTTGGTGTGAGATACAAACATGTCAAGTTCCATTGGGAAGATCTCCTTTTTCAATATGAGGTTGGCAATGTATCCTTCGCATGATCTTGGCAATCTGTTCGTGGCCACGGCTGAAATTATTTCAGTATAGTTTACACATCTCCGCGCCTGCGAAAAGCATGGTTGGCTACGTACAGTGCACAAGAAGTTCACCATACATACTGTACTTCTTCATATGAACATCACGGTTGGTTTAAGGAAAACGTGCATCGAATAAAATATATCTTTCAAAAAAATATCTGTAAATCAAAGTCACTGGGTTAATGCCCATATCTCGCAGCATTTCAACAGGTCAGACGCAATTTGTCTTAGATGCTACCCATTACGTTAAGTAAAAAAAACACACGTATGCCGCTAATTTCATTTTTTATTGAGATGTCAGATGTTGTTTGGACTCTTCTGCTACTGTAATCCGTTTAAGGTGTACGGATTTGCACTGTCACACACATGACCATGATGGCTTTTAGCCTTGTTTAACATTTGTGAGAGCCACTCTGGATGGTTGCTAAGAAGCATGTGCATGGAGCCTTGACGGACACACATCACTCTGTCAAGAGATTACTTTTCTGTGCGATTACTATTTATCACCAATTTGTAAGATAACCTTTACAGTGGGTGGCTCGAAAAGTTTCTATATTTTTTACACACTCTGTTCCAAAATAAAGGTGGGGGAGGTTCGTGAAGGACGCTGCTGAGGAATTGGAGGCAGTCGCCTTCCGG